TCAGTGGCCAAAGATTGGTTGTTAATGTTGGGCAATAACAGCTTATTGCAGGAATAAATTCAACAAGTCAAAACAATTAACTAGAGTGATGAAATCAAAAACAAGAGAACACAACACCAAATTTTACGTGGAAAAAACCCTCCAATGTAGAGGGAAAAAAAACCACGGGGCAACTCCGGCCAAATCCACTATAATCAATAAAGAGAGATTACAATATTCAAGTTTAAGCCCTAACACTTGAATGTCAACAAATTAGAAATACCACAATAATCAATCTTCAATTTGTACAGAGAAGAAAGATAACACCTGTGTGAATCCACACCCCAAGAAGACACTTCTTCTCTAACCAAAGTCTTCCTCTGCTAAAACTGAATTTGAGCTTCAATTTCCACAGCCTCAGTTTTTCTTCCGTCTCTGTATTTTCAGCCCCTGTATCCTTTCTTTCACGTGCAGCAGCTGACCGAAGAAGGGAGAAAAACCAGCCTGTGTTTTTTCCTTATCTCTCACACGGCAGCCTCTGTTTTCTGAGAATTTTTCAGCCACAGTAATACGTTTTCTTTCTGTTAACGTGCAGCAAGAAAAACTAACTGGAGAAGGAGGAAGTCTAGCCTCATATATTGACCTACAAGTTTTAATAATGGATTGGGCTTTTAACTTCCTCATGGGCTGGACCTGGTCCATAACAGTTAAGAGGTTCAAAGAAATGAAAAGTTTAAGAAAAGATGAATTTTACGAACACATGCGAAGACTAGGAAGGCTGTCTCACCCTAATCTGTTGCCGCTTGTGGCTTTCTTCTACACAAAAGAAGAAAAACTTTTGATAACCGAGTTTGCTGAACAAGGCAGCTTGGCTAGTCACCTCCATGGTAAGTAAATTTTCACCAAGTTCTTTTGGGATTATTAGAATAGAAGAAACATGGTTGCGTTGCATACAAAGTTTTTCTTTCTAGCAAAGCCATCTTGTCTAAATGCTTAACTGTGAGATAAGGAACACATTAATTTATTTGATTTTTTTTCAATATGACCCCTCAAGAGCAGGTAGACCTGACTTTTTCATCAAAAGCCTGCCACATATAGTTTTAGTAAATGAGTGGTAGTGAGACTTGATCTCACAATTCTGTGTTTGCTATGATACTAAGTTAAACTACTACTACTAAAAGTTTAATGTGTGAGATAGGAGACAATCTTAATTGAATAATCTACACATACTTTATTGTGCAGACCCAACTTACTTTTCATCAAAGGCTTACAACAACATTGAATTGAGTTTAAAATGTTAGATATGGCACGCATGTCATTTCCTTAAAATTTTGTTTTCAAAATCCTCTAGTGTTTCCATTTTATCTAATAAATATTTGAACTCGATGCAATATAGGTAATCGAAGTCCTCAACAACTAGCTCTTGACTGGCCAACCCGCTTAAAGATCATCAAAGGTATAGCCAAGGGATTGGCTTATCTTTACAAGGAGCTCCGTAACATAACCGTACCACATGGCCATCTAAAGTCATCCAATGTTCTACTAAACTACACATATGAACCCCTTCTAGCTGATTATGGCCTAGCACCAGTGATCAACAAGAAGCACGCCCAACAATTTATGGTAGCCTATAAATCACCAGAGTCTACACAAAATGATAGTTTAAATAGAAAGAGTGACGTATGGAATCTTGGTATTCTGATACTAGAGTTGCTCACCGGCCAGTTTCCCGCGAATTATCTGAATCAAGGGAGAGGAGACAATGCGGATTTGGTAGCATGGATTAAGTCTGTTGTAAGAGAAGAGTGGACTGGTGAGGTGTTCGATAAAGAAATGAATCCGACCCGGAATGAGGAAAGTCGGATGATGAGGCTTCTGAAAATTGGGATGTGTTGCTGTGAATGGGATGTGGAGAAAAGATGGGATTTGAATGAAGCTGTTGAGAAAATTGAAAAGTTAAAGGAAAGGGATTGGGATGATGACTTTTCTTCAAATGTTAGTGACGATGTGTATTTTCATCGAGGGCCTATTACTAATGAGGGATTGGCATTCTCTATGACTTGACAATGAATTGAACATGAAGACGACCAATGCATACGCTACGAGATTGGAAGATTGAGGAGCAAGAAGATGATGTCAAACCTTTCAATTTCATGGTTTCTGCATTGGCAGTTATATACAGGCGATGTTTTCTCATGGATCAATTAATGGAATTTTTTTGTATATGCTTTTAAGTGTCTTAGGCAGTTATAAACAGTCGTTTTATGCTTTTATTGGACAAAGATCATTTCAGCCTCTTGTTGAGAATCTATATAGTATGTTAATTGAAGAGATTAGCTGAAAATTTTCTGCACCGGAAAGAAATTCTGAACTGAAGCATGCTCCATAGCCTCCTCACTCATGTTTCAACTAGGAGTGTAAAATGAACTGTGTTAGTCATGTTATATCCCAGCCTTTCATGACCCAGGGATTTTGCATATCGAGGCATGCTCAGTACAACAAATATTTCCATGGTCCCATATGAGCTGTGTCTAGTCGGCTCATGGAACCGGCCATGCCAAGTTACACCTCTAGTCATAGCCCCTATCTCCCACTAAAAAGAAAAAACCAACTCCCTTAACATATAAACATTCTCTGCAAGTGAAGAAATCTTGATGATGAATCGAGGAAGTTCCCACTAAAATACCCGTGTTAAAATACAATTACTCTGTTATTTTATGCCAATCAAGAAAGTAAAGTATACTATGATAAAAAATAGCTTTGATTAAAAAAATGAGTATTTCATTAGATTGGTTTGCATCTCTGAAAAACAAAGATAGAACCTCTAGAACCTTTTCCAAGTCATGATCTTCTCATCTATGTATGTAATCTCGAGCTTCACTTCACTCTCCCCAACCATATGTGAACTCCAGTCCTCCAACCTTGAGTTCAGGTGGCTCAAACGCTACTTGAATCCATGTTTCATCTAGAGCAGTTAGTTTCCTTGCACATTAACTTGAGAATTAAGTGCATTATAGGCATTCAGAGAGTGTAATAGATAACATATTTACTTCTGCTGTCTACATTGATTGTATCAAACATACCTTAAATGTTTTCATATGAAATATGGATAAAGACAAAAATAGATAACAAAAAATAATAATGCAGGGGAGATTTAAAAAATGGTATATAGTGGAAACAAAGAATCCGGTGTTCCACTAGCAGAAGTCTACACATATATGCCATGAATTCTGTGCCACGAGAAACGAAAATTCATCATGCATGTAGCTAATAGAATGTTAATCAATGGAAATAATACCGGAACCAAGAATGCAGGATGGAGAAATAAATAATAGTTTTGTAATAGGCACATTTTATCAGGAGTCCAAGCTTATCCATGGAGTCCAGTTCAATTTGTGGCTTAAATTACATACTAGCTCATGCAGACAGGTTTTACTTTACCATCAGGCTGATAGTCGGACATAGGAATGAGATTGTGTAAGCTTAGCCTTTGTTTGGGCTCAATTTTAACGAGGTTTTGGGGAAAATGTATTATGGAATAGTGATTATTTGAATAATGTGTGGTTAAAAAAGAAAGAAAAGTTTTAGGTTTACTGTGATATTATTTTATTGGAGAATGTGCAGTTAAAAAGAGGAGAGAGAAAAATGCATTTTGATACCCCCAAGCTCACAAAAGAACTCAAGAGGCCCAACTGTAATAATCCATGTAAAATGTAATTAAACTCATTCAACAACTCCATTGCTGGACTGCTAAAATAAACCTTCTTCAACTCCATAGAAGCTTGCATTGTAAGCAAGCCATTTGACCCCCTATTTTTTTATTATTTTATTATTTTAACAAAGAAAGGGAAGGATAAAATAGAGATAGAAACTATGGAGATCAAAAATAGGTTTGGGATGGCAAGAACTGCACCACACTCAATGTATCAAGAGTCATAATTGACAAAAATTCTGTCAACAATTGACCATCACAAGAAATTCGCCACAAGAGTTACACGTTGACAAAAATTATGTTAACTATCGACCACCACAAGAAACCCATACTTGGGAGGTTGAGTTATGCCCAAAAAAAATCGAAGATTTAGTATAAAGTTCACGAGGCAAGTTCTGATACCTGACAAACTTTTGACTGAATAATCCTTACTTCAGGGATTCCTTGCATTATATAGGAAGAGTATTTACCTTATATAACTATGATATCAATCTAAATATGGTACATCTAATCGATCTAAATATGAAAAATATAATTATATACAAATTTGTTAAGTCATACTCTTAGTGATCTTCGTTAATCTTCATGATCTCTGTCGATCTCATTTACAAACCGGTCATTTTAAATTGTCATCTCTCATTACTTAATGCTTCATGCAGAAAGTAAGTTTTCAAGATGCTGTATGAGTTTTAGCAAAGCAACTATAAGGAATCTTGATCTATTGGTTGAATGGTATCCACAGAACAAAATAACTCCCTAAATACTTGTGTGATAAATAAAAAAGAAAATCAAAGAAAAAAATTGGCAATTGGATTCACTCTTCAATGAAACCTCTCCTCATAGGAGCCCTAGAAGAGAAAAGGATACTCTGTTTCTCACCGTGTCAGGGGCTTCAACAACCTGAATCATTTCCTTGGTTTTGAAAAATAGGAGTCCAATTGAACTCCGATAACCACCACCAGGTGATGGAAGGTTCGAACAACATAGCACATCCCACTCTGCAGAGAGAAACATTCGACATCAGCAAGCACTTCAATTCCTAAACTAAGTTTCTCTTTTGTTGTGCAATGCTGGAAAAGATTAATAAGATGATGCTCTAAAGTCTGACACAACATTATTTAGCCTCTTATATCATTGAAAATGGCATTTCTCATAAACTGCACAAGATTTTAGAAGCAATTCCTAGTCAATAGAATATCGGCAAAGTTGTAGCAAATCCATATTCGGAATCACACAGCAGAAAGTTCACATGACTTTATATTCAACATCTCTACAGTTTTCTCATGTACGAAACTTCAAAGTGCCTGTGCAGCCATCTTATAATATTCATGGAAAGTTAGATGAATGAAATAACGGATGATATATCAGAAAGAGAACGATGAGTTCTTATCAAGACAACGGGGAGTAGCATAGCTTGAAACTTAGGCAAGGCTTAATTATTGAACAACCTAGTTTGCAACTCCCACATTAAAACACTCAATTTATGCATCAACGTCATTCAAATAGAAGAGTTCATATCTAAGATCATTTGTCATTTCACATAGGACACCATTATGTACGAAAATTGTTTTGCAGAAGAATCAATTACAAGAATTCAGTTTATGACACGTAGTAAATAGATGGGCCAGCAAACAAGTTGTGCGGACAATTGTCAAATCCTCTTATGAATAACTTTCAACCTTTCACATGTTAACCTTGTATGAATCACTAATATCAAATTGGAAGAAGGATTCAAAATAAGTAACAGATGGAGAATGGGGATTTGTACCTCCAACTATAAGTGGGCACTTTACAGGCTCATTAACACAAAACCTTTGTAAATCAGTAGCCATTTCAGCCACCTTTTGGTTTTCATCTCTCGTCAGCAGAACTCCCCGATCTGCTTGCATGACCTAATTAGTGATGAAATCTCAGTTTTCTTTACAATTGGAAGTTCTGAGAATGGATCAATCATAGAGATGAAAACAATTTGAACTTTACTAGAGAAAACGAAAAACATGGAAGGTGAAAGGATGAAAATACAATAATCATATCGCATCTACAAGGTCAGAAATGACTAGCAAGAATGGATTGATTATTAAAGAACTACTAGCAGATATCAAATTTCATAAAGGGAGAAACTTTGAGATGTACAGCACATATTGCAACCAATGCATATGAAATTAAAGATAAGTAGAAAACTAAGTAGTACATGACCGTTTAGATACCTTAAACCTGTCATAATGCCTTATCAAATTAGCGTACTTTGGAAAAGAATTTAGTATGCCATTTTATTAGCATGAGATAGGAAAAGCAAAGCTCTTAAAGTTTCTATACTAACTCAAAGAAGAGAAACATCGGTGGACATGTGATATTTTTTTCTAAAAAACTTAGTAGATAAGTAATTAGTCCAACAATCTTGGTTCATTTACCTAAATTACCAGGCAACATAAACCATATTAAGTAAAATGTCAAAGACTCAACACAAATCAGTTCAGTAAAGTCAACTTCATCGTAAAAGGAGATTGTTCTCATTCTTGAGACCATAACTTGACCAATCTCACAAACAAGGCCTTCAGTCACATATTTCATCTTTCAATTGTGATGTTAGTTTCTTTGAATATTTACCTTTCATTATTTCAGGGATGTGTAGGAGTCAGGGGATGACACTTCCTATCTGATAAAATATCTTGCGGAGAGAGTAGGCATGCAATAGCCAACAGATTAACATATGTTTGCAATCTATGTTAACCTAAAATCTCGTCGAATATGATTCATTCAATTATTTTTCATGAGCTTTTTGTGGACTTATCGCTCAGCAGTTTCCTTCTTTTCTCCTCCTGTATTGTTGGTTCTTCTTTTATTTTTACCGGTGTCCTTCCATTGATTCTTCATCAAATGCATCGATTCATCCAAAAGAGATAAATGACAAAATAAGTAGGAACCAATTTCTTTCTTAGTATTTGTTACAAAAGTAAACATGTATTACCCTATTGTATAGAATCTTATCTATAGGGACTTGACGTGTAAATATTATTAGTCTTGTATATATATGTAATCCCTAGACTTACTTATGAAATAAGAAATATACCTTTCTCTCTCTCTTGAATATCGATTACATGGTATCAGAGCCACAATCGCTTTACCAGCGCTAAGGTTCCGTTGAGCTGCAGTCGCGATCGCCAGCACTAGGGTTTTGTCGAGCTGCAGTCGCCGTCACTCTCTGCCGTCGGTGGGTCCACTTTTCTTCCTCTCTCGCTCTCTGGCCATCAAGTGGGTCTCCACTTTTCTGTGTTTCAGCAGCTGCAGCGCTGCTACCTGCATCGGCCAGTCTGCTCGCCTCCCGCCGTTCAACCTTCGGCCGGAGTGTTTA